GGGGAGGGGGCTGCTCCAGGCTGGGGGTTTGGCAGGGGCAGGCAGGGATTTTTCTTCCCATCCCTGCTGGGAGCTGGGTGCACCCAGTGAGAAGAGGGAAAGGAGGAGAGTCATGATGGCAGAGCCCAACTTCCAGAGTGATCCTCACCTCTGGTCCAAGCACACTCCCAGGTCTCCTTCTGAGGTTATTTTGTAGGGAAAACCTCCCTATTTCAGTCTCTGTCTTCCAGTCTTCATCTCCCCCTTCCAGAGAAGTGGATTTTGGTCTGGGGATGCTGCCTCAATCTCGGCCTCTAATTGAGGAGAAGGGTTTGTTATGTTTGTGCCATTAGCAGGATTTTCCTTGGGGAAACTTCCCAAGCATTGATTCCTGTTCAGTTTGTTGTGTTAATTACAGCTGGCATTCCCAGTGAGCATCCAGACTATCCCAAGCACTGCATCCTCTGCAGTGATGGTGTATCCTGAGAATGCTGCTCCATTCCTGCTCTGTTCTCCCAAAATGTGGCTGGGATGGTTCCACAGGCAGTGCCAGTGTCTCCAACATACTGGCAGCAACTGGACTGGCCTTGAAGTGGCCAAATTTGTACAGAAATCCTAAGGACACAAAAAGAGTTTGGAAAAGCTGTTTGCTGGGGAATGCTGTCCTGATACTGCCAGGAGACAGAGGGAATAGTGCAGGCAGGGAAGAACTCCTGTTTGGCACAGAATTCCAGGTGCTGTGAAAGCACCATCCCTCTGACTGCTGCTTCCAGACCCCACTGGGAGCGTGAGCAGACAGTGTAATTCACTATTAGAAATCCAATTCATTTGGGGCTTTTTTAATGTCTTTTATGATGAGGTTTTTCGTCCCACCTCCAAAATTCCAATGTGGACAGATAGTCTGTCCTCTTCCTTCCATATAAATCGGGTGTCTGAAGTTGGCTCCTTTCCTAGGCAGCCAAATTCCCTGTGCTTTCTCAGAGTCATGCAGCCAGTCCTCCAGAGCTAAAAATGCAGAAAGAGGGCACCAAACTGGAGCTATTTTGGAGTTGAGGTCACTTTAATTTACTTGGCCAGGCTGGAGATCTGCCAAAAGCCAAACCAGAATGGCAGGAACACTGATTGCAACTCAACCCGCTTCCTGAAGAATCCAGAGAGGGCAGGAATGGAAACCAGGGAGCTTTCCTAGTTGATCTATGCAGGGAATACATTTCTTCCTGTCCTAAATTCTCACATGTCCTTTTTAACAGCAGAACTAAGGAGGTTGTGTGGGGTAAGCTTGAAGATACCAAAACCTTGAGCATCCCAGGGAATTTGCTCCTTGTCTGTGACATGGATCTCTGTGGGTGAGTGATGGGAGGACACTGGGATCTCCTGGAGATCCACCTGTGTCTCAGCATGATCCCAATGGAGTGGGAGAGCCCTGTTGGACCAGCAGGTCTTGGATGTCTCTGGTTTTGAGTACACACAGGCAGTTTCCATCCTGCAGAGCTGCAGGAATTCCTGCTGCAGCACCTGGAAGATCTGCCACAAGGGAATGGCATGGGCTGGCTGGGTCAGTGCTTCCCTCAAGGGGAAGGGGAAGGAAGAATGGAAGGCAGCCAGGGAATCCTGGTTCAGGTTCTGGATGAGTGCTCCAGCTCTGCCCTCCCCAGTGGTATCACCAGCTCCTTGCAGTGTCTCCTTCCATATTTTCATGAAATTCATGGAATGTCCTGTGTGTGACCCCAAACCTCTGCCAGACTTCCCTGATGGGAATCATCACAAACATTTTAGGGGGGATATTTGTGGATCCATGCAGAGCCTGCATGTGCCAGCTGCTTCCACATGAGAGCAGGATGAACCCAATCAGCTTTCTACAAAGCTCTGGGAAATCTCCCGTTCCAGCTGCCTTTTCCCCCCAAATCTGGAGCTGGGACAGCTGAGGTGACACCCACAATCCTCTGCTGGAGCACTCAGTGTACCCTCCATGCCAGGCTGCATGTGAGCCCAGGTGGGAGCTGGGATGTGACTGGGATCTGGGAAGCAGCGTGGGAGAGTCGGAGCTGGGAAGAAGACTGGCAGGAAATGGGAGTGAGTAAATCAGCCGAGCTCGCCTGAGTTGTGACTAAAGGGGGAGCGTGAGACATCTGCAAATATTAGAGATGTGTAAACACAGAGCAGGGAGAGGGAATGGTGGAGGGAATGATTGAAGGCAGTGAACTTTTGGATGGAAAAATGTAGGTCAAGTATGAAGGAAAACTTGTAGGCAGCAAGATAAGTGCTGTAAAACAACCTCCTTGGGAAACACAAGGAAGTCCCACTGATGGAGATGTTTATCCTAAGGCAGATGAGGGCTGGAAAAGAGGCTGAGCTGGAGGGATGGATTCAGGGTGTCCATCCCAGAATGGACTGGGCACACCAGTGATGTCAATCCAGCTTCCTTTGTGTTCGTAATTCCCCTTAAAACTGCAGGCTGGTTGTGGTTCAATTAATCCATCCAGATTTTAATCGTGAAAACTTCTTGGCTTTGGGGGGAATTCACCCACCTGACATCAGCCAGTTCAAATTCAAGCAGGTCATCCACACCAGCTGCCCAAAATCCTGGAAGGTCACCAGGGGAAGGAGAAGCTCATCCAGCCACTCACTGATGGACTCTCCAAGGGTCGGGGTGTTTTCAGGACAGCCTCTCCTTTTTGCTCTAAAGGCACCCCAAATAATTAAGGTAATTAATAAAGCCTCTCTCTGTTTTGCTCCACATTACACTGGAGTGTGTCTGGAGCATGTGGGAACAACAACATTGTGTCCAGTCAGGGACTTGTTGAGTCCTCAGACTGGAATAAGGATATGACCTGTCTGAATACATCGTGGGCAGTCAGTGGCTGCTTTGGAGCCCATTTTACACCCCCTGGTGCTGTGTCCCATCAGTGTAAGGTGTCGCTGTCCCCTGAGCTCTCTAACCCTCCTTTACATCCTGTTGAGGTTCCATAGCAGCAGGGACAGGTCCTGCCTTCCCAACAGGGAGAAACTCATGGTGCCTGCAGAGGGCTGTGTGCCACCCACTGAGGGGTCCTGTTGTGTCCTCCTTGTCCCCGTGTCTGCTTGCTCCACACACTGTCCCCAAGGGACAAGGGGCTGTCAGGGAGGGCAGTGTTGCAGTGGGGGTTGTGGCCCCTCCAGAGCACAGCTCTTCCTCCTGAGTTCTATCAGATCATGCAGTCACAGCATGGTTTGGGTTGGAAGGGACCTTGAACCCATCCTGTGCCACCTCCTGCCACAGGCAGGGACACCTTCCACTCTCCCAGGGTGCTCCAAACCCCACCCAGCCTAGTCCTGGACACTTCCATGTTCAGGGATGCAGATCCAGACCTCAAAACTCTCCTGCTTGTGTCCTCACACTCTGCAGAGCTGCTCCACTGTGTCCCAGTAATTAACACCCGACAGGACAAGGAGAGCAAGCACCTGCATTCCCACATCCCAGGGGCCAGCCCTGGCCATGGTACTGGGGGCTGCTCCAAAATGTTCACTCCATAAATTGTGTCCTGGCGCCCATAAAACTTTTTGGGATGAAAGTTTCACCAAAGCTAACACAATTCTGTGAAAATTCTGGCTTTCAAGGGACAGCATTTTACAGGAAAAAAAAAAAAAACCAAACTAAAATAACTTGCCAAGAATTTCCCAACCAGCTTTAATCCTGAGACACCACTGTGGGCCAAAGAAACAACGATAAGGATCTATGAAAAACATGGGGAAACAAAGAAGTGATGGGTTTAAAGCCTCCAGAAAATGAAAATGCAGCTGGAAGGCGGAGCACTGGGTTTCTCTAAGCATGCCGAGGAGGGAAACTCACTCCCTTTGAATCACAGGGAGCCCTTTCTAGCTGGTTTCAAAGGAAGTTGGATGTGATCGTGGAATGACCATGGTGCTGTCACTCGTGCCCTCATGAGTTCAGGGATGAGCTGGAAGTGCCATGGGTTTCTTGCAGCCTGAGGAATGATGCACACCAGGAGAAACGGGAGCTCTCCCTCCCTGTCTGCTACAGCCAGTGGAGACAAACAACTTCCCCCGTGCCTGATGCTGGGCAGATAAGGGAAATTTGGGAATATGGATGTAACTGAGCCAGCTGGGCTGTGCCTGGCTCTCTGCTGTGGGCACAAGCACACGGAGGCTGGAAGGGAAGAGGGAAATTCAGGACTGGACAGGCTGGAGAGGCAGGGAATGTGGCACAGCCTTGCAGTCACTGCTGAACCCCCAGGGTGCTCTTCCTTCTGGAAATGTTGCCATGCACAGCTTGAAGTATCAGGAGGGTGAACAGAGTACATGAAGACACCTGTACCACTGGTACATCCCAGTGCCAGAACATCCATGGAAAATGAACAACTTTCCCCCTTGAGCCAAAAGAAATGGCACAGCAGAAGTTCCAGATGTCAGAGAATTGGGAATCTCTCCCAGGACCTGGTGGGGAAGGTGAGGAAGGTGTTATTTGGTGGCAGAGAGGCACAAGCCTGAGGTGCAGTGGCTGCATGGGCTGCATCCCAGCTGCTTCTGTCCAGCAGCTTTTCCAGCAGGAAATTTCCAGTAAAGACCAGCCCATGATGTGTTTTGCTGTCCCATGGCCCGAGCTGATGGGGGCCAAAGCACTTTAGGGGAGCTGAGAATCCTCCCCTTCCCAGAAGAGCCACGGGATGTCTTGGGGATGAGGAGGACACTCTGGGATGGGTGATAAGCAGCGTTTGAATTTTGGTGTGATGGACTGAGCCCTTGGGTCACTGATGTTGGCAGAACCTGCCACAATGCCTGTCTGTAGGAGACATTATTCCATGTGGCAATTAGCTTTATTTTTGTGGTGGATTTAGCTGGATAGAGGAGTTCCACCATTGTTACACTCCACTGGGTTGTTTGAACCCATCACTGTTCAACAAATGACCCCAACACGCATTTCCCACAAGAGCTGGGAGCTCTCCCGTCCCCTTCCACACTGCCATGCTCCAGCTGTCCCAGCGCTTGGGAAGTGACATGTCCTTCTCCATGATTTCCCCCAGGCTGTCTACAAGGCGTGGCTGTGCTCCGAGTACTTCAACGTGACCCAGCAGCAGTGCCGGCAGCGGATCCCATGCAAGCAATACTGCCTGGAGGTGCAGACCAGGTGCCCCTTCGTGTTACCGGACAATGACGAGCTGATCTATGGAGGTTTGCCTGGCTTCATCTGTACGGGTAAGGAGGGCAGGGCTCGCGCCGGGCACAGGGGGGTGATGGTGAGCCCTGGCGAGTTTCCAAGCCACTCCCCGTGTTTGGAAGGCTTGTGGGGTGGAGTGGTAGGAGGCACAGTGTGGAAACATTGCCTGATGCCAAAATGTGGCCACCCCAAGGGTATGGGGGTAAGGGGTTAATAGGGGCACAGCAACATCTTAGCCCAAGAGGTGAAAGTCCTGCTTCTGACTGAGAACTAAAGCATGGAGGGAGCTACAGGTGGTGGGTTAAAGTAGGGTGGGGATGTTGAACCACTGTGAGCAGGATTTGGGGAGCCCTGATCTCGCCTTGCTGTGCAGGCTCACAGACATGCTGGGGCCAGTCCCAGGGGTGTCTGGATCTCCTGGTTTTCAGGTGTGCCCATCCCACAACTGGTGGGCACCAGAGCTTGCTTCCTCTGCAGCCGCATCCTCACTGTCCTGCTGACCCCTCCTCCTGCTTCCTCCTCCCTGCAGGCCTGCTGGAGAACCAGCTGCCCGACGAGGAGGCCAAGTGCTGCGAGGTGCAATGGGACTCCTGCGAGCACCCCCCGGACAGCAACGAGGACACATCCCCCAAATCCACGGCGTCAGAGTCGCTCCATTTCCACCGCCACGACCCCCACCTCCATCACCAGAGGCAGAACCACTACCACCTCTACCACCACCACCACCACCAGTACCACCAGTACCACCAGCCTCGCTCCCCGTCCTTGCTGCCGGTCTCTGCGGGGTCTCGCCTCGGCAGCAGCAGGATCAGACTGTGCGTGCTGGTCCTGATGCTCCTCCACACCATGGTGTCCTTCTCGAGCGTGCACGGCGGCGCCGGGGGGCTCGGCCTGGAGACCCCGCCCGCCCTGGAGGAGAGCGTGGCACGGGACGAGTGACACAGAGGGCAGAGCCGACCTCCAAGGAGAACGCCAGATCTTTTCCCAGAAGGGGGGCACATGCTATTCCTCCAATGGGAGGCACGGGATTGGGGGTGGCACACACGCACCCCCGCACATCCCCCAAGAGCTGCTCGCGCGGGGCATCCCCGTGGTGAAGAGTCTCTAACGCGCACAGGGCTGCGGGACCCGGCGCCAGAAGGGTTCGGGCAGGGCCAGCACTGCCGGCCCCGCAGGCGCCGGGAGGGCAGGAACGGCACGGGGCCGGGGGCACCGAGGGGAGGGGTCCCTGGGAATCGAAGGGTGTCCCCATGGGACTGCCGGGTGTCCCCGGCCGCTGCCGCGAGTGCCTTGAGTGCCCGCGCCCCCCCCGCCGCGCCGTGCCGAGGTTTGACGGTCAGCCCAGCCCTCGTTCCTTTTCTCCTGGGTCTGGATCCCGAGGGAGCAGGCGGAGGGGCAGCACCTCCCGGCACAGCCTGGCCCACTCCTGTTCCCGGGAAAAGCCTCTGGGACTCGGGGCAGAGCCGCCCTGGTGGGGCGCAGTGTCCTCAGCACGGCGCTGCCTCGCGATGGCGTTTGGGGACAGGAGTGGGACGCTGTGACACTGCACTGTGGTACCACTCGGGGTTGGTCTCACTGCATCCCAGCCTGCTCCTCCAGCCTGGCCTTTCCTGCTCCTCTGTGCGAGGAGGAGGAGAGGGAGGAGGCTTGGAGCAGGAGGGATGTCCCCAGCATTCCCACATCCCACTTTGCAAAGTGTCCTGATGATTTGGTGTAACCTTTTTTGTTGTCCTCCCTGGCTGGTGGGGCTGGTCTCAGTGAGGAGTTGGGGAGATGTGACTCCAGCAGCACACAGGCTGTGAGGGACAGGGATCCCACGTGGCAACAGTTGGATGCAGGGAATCCCAAAGGCATCCTTCCATGCTTCCCAGCTACAAATCATTGACTGGATGGCAGGAGGACTGGGCAAACGGGCTGGAGAAATCTGGCTTGGAGGGAGAGTCTCCCACACAAAGAGGCACTAATAAAGCCCAGCTAGGGAGGAGCATTTTTGTGAATAGTTTCAATCCATGGATGCCCCCAGATCCGGAAATTTCTGGGAGCCCAGCTGGACTTGGCTGGGCAAGGTGCTGGCTGGTGTGGCCTCATTTGGCTCACTTGGGGTGGTTTTTTAACCTGAGCTCAGCATATCCAGGGATTCAGCCCCAAACAAACATCAGATCCTTAGGATCTGATCCCCAGGTCATTTCCAAGACACTCCCAATTCTCCACCCACCCACCAGAACTGCTCCCAGCATGGACAGTGCGAGGTGGTGCCTCCAGGCCAGGCACCAGGGGCTGTAATTTGTCCTGGGTGTGGGCAGGGAAGGAAGAGAGGGTGTTTTAGCACAAGGTCACGAGTTGGGTGTGAGCCCACTCCCTGCTCCCAGAGGGGCTGGGATGGTCCCTCTGTTTCCAGGCTGGCTCTTGACAGGAACCTACAGCAGAGCCCAGCGTGGGTCACTGCAGGAGACAGGGATGGAGCAGGAGAAACGTCCTGCATCCCAAATTGATCTCAGATCCCTGTGAGGGTTCAAGAAGTCCCAGAGTTGATGATCTGTAGGAGTTTTGTGGTTTCTGGTCTGTTGAGGTGAAGCAAGGCCAAGCAGAGCCCCGTGAGCAGAGCCCCATGAGCAAAGCTACTTCCTGCCCGGCTGGAAGAAGGAAGTACCAGGCATCTCGTGGGAAGCACAGGTTTCCTGACATTTCCAGCCCATTTCCAGACCAAAGAGGCTCTGAGAAGCAGCTGAATGTTTGATTCCTGCTTTGACTTGAATCTCAGAGCTTTGGGGTGATGTTTACACACCACCAGTTGCCTGTTCCCAAAGTCCTGCAGAGACGAGGCTTGTGATCCCATTGTCCCATGATTTTTGGGGTGGGAGAGGTGGTGCTCATGGAAGATGGAGAGTGTTTCCAGAGCAGATTCCCTTGCTACTGCCACCCCAAAAGTAGGATGTCTCTCATTTGACTGTTCCTCATCCATCTAATTTCTAGTTTACACCAGTCAGAACAGTTGGACATGGAGCAGTTCTGCAAACCGGGATCCAATCCCTTGGATTTCTGTGAGCAGTGGGTTGTGGAGCTGCTCTGACAAGGAGCAAAGGCTCCCAGGGAGGCCAGGGGAGGAGCACAGCCCCATCCCTGCCTCCAGACAGCCGGATCCCAAAGGAAATTAGATTTCTCCTGTACTGCCAAGAGTTAAGCTAATTCCAGGCGCCTCTCTCGGAGATAGACTGTGTCCAATCTCGGAGCGACTCATCGGGAGAGAGAAGAATGGCCCAGTGTGGTGCGTCAGCAAGTGGCCCTGAGTCACTGGCCCTGTTCATTGTGTCATGTGTGACACTGAGCACGGCTCAGTCCCTGCACCACTCTGGATCCAGCACCACCCTGAGGGACGCGCGTCCTTCTCCCTGCCCTGAAGCCCTTGTGTCCTGCTGGTGATGGAGAGCCAGGCCAGGCTTGGGGGTGGTCATGTGGGGCTCCCAGAGAAGTTGTGGAAGTGTCCAAGGCAAGGTTACACAGGGCTTGGAGCAACCTGGTCCCGTAGGAGGTGTCCCTGCCCATGGCAGAGGGTGGAAGAGAATGGGCTTTAAGATCCCTCCAACCTAAACCATTCCATGATTCCATTATTTCCACAGAGCTGCAGGAGTGAGATCCAACAACCCAAGTCATCTTCAGGGGGTGCTGGCAGGGATTTGTTGGGATAACCTGGGAGCTGTGAGAAACAGTTTCACCTTCAATAACACCTGCTGGAGGTTTCCCTCGGGAGGTGTTGCATCCCAGTGAATCAGGAAGTGGAGCCAATTCAGAGCTGGGCTGGTTTGGGTGGCTGCTGGGGAGGTTTGAGCCCCATCCACCAGGAGTGAGGAGGCCACCAGGACAGGAGATCCATGTGTTTTCCAGGCCACGGATCCTGAGGGGTGTTCCCAAGAGGACGAGATGCCAGAGAGAGCACATGGGATGTGGATCCACTCTGGGAGCATGGGATGGGCTTTACCTGCTGCAAGGAAAGTGCTGGGTCTTCCCAGAGCGAGGCTGCAGAAGATCTTTTCTTTAGTGAGTCTGGGCTGCTGTCAATAAGTTCTGTGGTTTTAGGGCACCATATGCTGCATTCAACACTTTGCCAATCTGCTTAAACGGATCCAGACAAGGCTGTTCCCAGAGCAGGAGCAGCTGGAAGTGGTGTATGGAGCAGTCCATCATCAGGAGCCCATCAGATAAAATTCCTGCCTTTGGTCTGACATTACAACCTCCTAATCCTCCATCCCCGAGTACTCTGGCTTTGCTCTCTGAAAGAACAGCCCGGGAAGCAGACAGTGACATTGTCTCACTTAACACCACTGGCATTATTTTTATTACAAAGTGGAGGGAATGTGCCTGGAAAAGGAGCGGGTGTGCTTGGATAAAGAAGGAATGTGCCTGGATAAGCTGGGGAAGGGCTTCCTTACCCTGTGTGTCCAGGGATGCTTCACCCCAAGCCCTGTGTCCACTCAGGCAGGGGCCTTTTGCAATCCCAAATGCTCTCCACATTCCCAAAGCCACCTTGGAATAAGTGAGCTCTAAATGATTTATCCTACCAAGAACTTAAACCCAAGGGGCTTTGTCCTCTTCATCCAGTGTTCTTATCTCTTGTTCCTAAAGAAGATGCCCCATGTTGGGATTAATATGTAAAACTCAACTTTTCCTTCAGTGGACAAACTTCTCTTTGCTCAGAGAAAATTCCCAGTGGGAAGCAGTGATTCCTCCCTGGTGAGGGGGTTTCTCATCCCCAGGGAAGTGAGGGATGGTGATGTCTCCACAAGCTCCAGGTGTGGGCAGAGAGAAGGAGCAAAAGGAGTCGGGTCCAGCGTTATTCCCGGGTTTTGCACTTTCATGTAGCTGCCAGTTGTACAAATTAATTAAAAATAACTGAAGAAAAATCCCAAAGAAAGGCCCCGCTTCCTCTGGGGAACATTAATCATTAGCTGAGTCTTTTTCTTATGAAAATACAGATCCATGGTAGCCCCAGGCAGAAGATTCCCAGGGAGAGCCCTCACCATTCGTGCTCGGAGTTAGGGAAATCGCTTTGAAAGCATCTGACAACTAAAGCAGAACATGTTGAGTAACTTGGCAACACTGGGAAAACATCTGGAACTGGTTTATCTTCAACACATTTTGCTTTGCTTCAAGAGGAGATGTCAGGGCAGTTCATTCACTGCCACTCAGGGCCGCGGGCGGGGCCGGGAGACGCTCGGCTGCCGCCTGGAGGAAGGGAATAAAGGGAAAATCCCAGATATCTGCTGCTCCTGGGCAGGATCCTGTGAGGCCAGGCCATGGAGTGTCCCTGTGCTGAGCTCTGCATGTGCCTCCTGGTCTCTGGTGGCACTGAGTGTGATGGTTTGGGATGGGTTGTTGAGGTTGCCTGGAAACGCTGTGGCTGCCCTGTCCCTGGGGGTATCCAAGGCCAGGTTGGATGGAGCTTGGAGCAACCTGGGATAGTGGAGTGTCCCTCCATGGCAGGGGGTGGAACTGCATGATCTTGAAGATCCCTTCCAACCCAAACCACTCTGGGATTCCATGATTTCCACAGAGCCAAAGGGAGTGAGGTCCCATAGCCCAGGTTACCCTCAGCTTGTGATTCATCCTGTTCCCATTCCTGCTGCTGTCTGGGAAAGGAATGCCTGTAGGGCTTGGTGGAGACAATGTCAGGACAGAAACATTCCTGGATTCTGCCAGAAAGTGATGGGGCAGTGTACTAGTTTGAAAGCAAACCAGCAGGAGATTCCAAGTCAGAACTACAATTTAATAGGAAAATCAAAGTAAAGGCAGTAGTGCAGAAGCACTGGCTTAGACTGAGAGAGTCAGAGCACAACCTGCCAGCCTGTTGGTCAGGGTGGGGAGCAGTGCAGTTAAATGGGAGCTGTTGGAGTGATGGATGTGGTTCTGTCCAAGCAGTGATCCTGTAGAAAGGTCTGGTCCTTCTCTGGAGGTGCCGTGGTGGTTGTGGAGCTCTTGTCCTCTGGGAATCCAGTGGCAGTGCTCCTGTGGTGTTCCAGGCCTCAGACTGTATCCAGGTAGGAATGTTTGGTTCCTCCCCTCAGTGTGCAGGAGCTCACAATGAGATGATTTTGAGTCATTCTTTGAGACCCTTCCTCAACACGTGTCACTTGCTCCTCCTCCCCTTCTTCTGGGCATCTCCCACAGTGGTGCTGGATGTTGTGGTGGTTGTGGAACCAGCGCTTCTTGTTGTACCCTTTTTAGTGCCAGTCACAAATTCAACCTTTGTACGTTCTTTCTTGGCCTTCTTCACTTTGTCCATCTCAGTCTTCTGGGCTTTAGCTAGTGCCTCATAATGTGAATCCTCTGACCAGCTATGAGGATCAAACATGTTCTTTGGGTAATTTGTACCAATTTCATCAATGGAACAAAACTGGATCAGCTTTTCATGGATGCTGGGGTTGCGAAATTCCTTTTTGTTCTGGATGCTGTAGTTCATATCCATGCCCTCTTTTATTTTGCTCTCATACAGCTTTTTAGTTTTATCCTGCAGTTGGTTAGAACATCTGCCAGGAGGCTCAGGAGGGATTTTGATCTCATCTGGAGATGTGTTCCACACTCTCTCTGAAAAAGAAGCAACTGGTTCCTGAGGATCTCTTTCCTCCACTTCTTGGAATTCCTTTAGGTCACCAGCCTTGGGTTTTTCAGTCTGTAAATCATCATTTTCTGAGTGCCTGCTGTTGCCGTCATCCTCCTCTCTGTACCCTTCCTCATCCTGCTCCAGGTGGGTAGAGTCACCTTCTCCATGCCCGGCTGACACCAGGCTCCTCTCTCCCCTGTGCCACCCCGTGCCATCTCCCCCGTGCCATCCTCGCTGTCCCTCTCCAGGTCCAGGTCCTCACCACAAACCTCCAGCAAGGAGAGAGCACTCCAATTCACCACCACATCTTCCAGGGCTGCCCACTCTGGGCACCAGAAATGTTCCAGCTTGAAAGCAAACCAGCGGGAGATTCCAAGTCAGAACTACAATTTAATAGGAAGATTCAAGGCAGTAGTACAGAAGCACTGGCTTAGACTGACAGAGTCAGAGCACGACCTGCCAGCCTGTTGGTCAGGGTGGGGAGCAGTGCAGTTAAATGGGAGCTGTTGGAGTGATGGATGTGGTTCTGTCCAAGCAGTGATCCTGTAGAAAGGTCTGGTCCTTCTCTGGAGGTGCCGTGGTGGTTGTGGAGCTCTTGTCCTCTGGGAATCCAGTGGCAGTGCTCCTGTGGTGTTCCAGGCCTCAGACTATATCCAGGTAGGAATGTTTGGTTCCTCCCCCTGGGTGGAGCCTCTCACAAAGGGATGATGAGATTGTATGAGCCGTTCTGTGGGACCCTGCTGGCCCATCAGTGGGGATGGCTCCTCACAGAGTGGCTGGTGCTTCCCTGGGGGAGTTATCAGGGCTGAGCCATGGAGAAGAGAAAGAACACTGCCCCACCTGTCTTTGGTTACATCTTACATCATAACCCAAGACAGGCTGGGAATTCTGTGAATCAGCTTTTCCTGCTTCCCTGGGGCTTCCCGTCTCTGGGGGTTAAATTTCTCTTAAACTAGGCTGGACAAGTTGGGAAGGGCCATGTCAGGTGTTCAGGTTGGATGTTAAGGATCTCCTTCAGCCCAGAAGTTTAGCTCATGGGCATCCCAGCTGGAGGTGCCACCATCCCACAAGCCCAAAAGCATCCCTTCTCCCACAGAAGGAGCCTGCTTGGAGCTCCCGCATCACGACAGCCCTGGGGCTGCACAGCTCCCACCATGAGCCCATTTTATTCCAGGAATGGAAGGATTTTTGCAGCTTTTTTGGGTGTTCTTGGTCCAGGTGGCTCTTTGGGTGACCTCCCAGCCCTGCATGTCTCTATGAGGAAGGAGGAAGGGAGCAAAGGCAAGACTCTGGTGGGGAATGGACCATTTTTAATTGAAGATCATAAAAAAATAAGGAATAATAAATTTTAAAAGTTGTTGGGGTTTTATCAGAGCTCTCAGCCCCTCTCAAAGGCCTGTGCAGGAGATGGCTGAGTTCTGAGCCCAGTCCCTCCACCCTTTCCTGTTCCACATCTCCAGGACCTGTGTTCCAGGCAGGCCAGGAGCAATTTCCAGCCTTTTTAGCACTTCAGGATGATCCTTTTTGAGCCCAGAAGGTCGACAACTCCGCTTGTTGTAAACTGAAACTCAACAAAAAAACCCCAAGAATTAGGTTTGGCTTATGAAATTTGGGGTTGGTTTTACCATTTTTAAATGTATTTGGGAACTGGACATGCCTAAGTTGCAAAACAAAAAGACAAAAAGAGCCAGACAGTGATTTTTTTTAATTTTGAAACTTGTCACAACAAGCCAGATTGTTCATTATGACCAATTTTTTTTTTTTTTTTTGCAAATTGAGAAATGCATCCAGAACAGTCCTTTCCCACAAAACCTTTCATTTTCCAAATAGAAAACGAGGCAAAAAAAAAAAAAAATCAATCACACTTTTTCTGCTCACAGAGTTGGAACTGGCGGCAGCGGATTGGGAGAGAATAGCAATTTGTAAGGAATTCCAACCAGCTCTCCTTAAAATAGCATCCAGCCAGTTTCTCCAGGGCAGGAGGCTGGGTGGCTCCGTGGTGGGAACAGGCTGGAGCGAATCCTGGCTGAGCAGGCCGGGATAACACCTTGGGAATGCAGGGACACCTTCCCCGTGGGAATCAGAGCTGGTTTTGCCTGGGAGGAATTCCTGGGGATCCCCAGCCATGCCTCTCATGGAGGTTTGGTTTGGTTTTCTGTTCCAACCCAAACCGAATCCAGCTCCTTCGAGCCTCAGGATGCCTTCAAAAGGGAGATGGGAGGCACTGGGGTGGAAATTGGGATCAAATTCCGTGTGCTGGTCCTTGAGGGAGCCGTGTTCAGGAGGGATGTGGGGAGGGAGAGCAGGAGGAGACCCCAGCCCCTCGTGCCCTTCTCCCTCTGGAGCGTGTCCGAGCTGGGGCTCCCTGCCTTGTGCTGCTGTCCCAGGGCCTTGGGGGCACCTTGGGGACCTCGGGGGCCCCAGCCCCGCCGTGCCCAGGCTGCCAGCCCCGACCCCTTCTGGAGTGCTCGTGCCATGCGGGTGGTGACAGAGCTCGGCCCGACCCCAGCGAGGTCCCTTAACAGTGCGTGGTGGTGAGACACAAACCAACATTGCTGAGGTCAAAGTATCCTTTCCAATCCCCCGGCCCGGTTTCTCTTTCTTTCCAGCTTTTCCTCCTCCGCCTCCTGGACCCTCCCTCTGTTCCCACCCCCCTTCTGTTTCTCTTTCTCCCTTCTGTCATAAGAAAGTGACTGTGTCCTCGAGGGGACAGTTTTCTTATGCCATTTTATACACTGTGCTTCATGTTTAGAACTTTTTTGCACTAGTTCCTATTACATTTATTTTCCAAACTGGTTTGACAAAAAACAAACAAAAAAAACCCAACAAAAACACAATCCCATGCTATAATTCAGTTGTATTAAAATATTATCCTACTACTCTCTGTGTTCAATAGTCTCTGTACCTGTAATGCTTTCAGTTCTGTTGTATTTTGGGGCCGAGGTTTTCTCTGCTCCTTGTTTAACCCAGTAAAGAAATAAAATGTTAAGAATTGATGATAACTCCTCCTCCCAGTCTCTGCTGTGTCACTGGGGCCACCAGGGTCCCACGGGGACAGGCTCCCCCCAGAACCTGCTCTAAACCCCAGCCACTGTCCCATGGGGGTTGTTTTCCTGCCAAATCCAATCCCAACTGGAGGCCAGAGAGGCGGGATGGAGGGACAATAACCCTGCCTTAACTGAATTTGATTTCGTAACCTTTCTTTATATTCTTTTGTTTCTTGCTTTCACATTTCTTGCCACGGGGCTCACCTCAGAACAATAGGGGCGAAGGCTGTCACCAAGAGATTCATCAGACAATAATGACTCAACCAGGGTATCCAAATTTTGCCCAGCTGAAGTCCACACCCACACATAATCTGGAATTAATTCCTCTGGACAACAGAGCTCGGCATGGAACAGAGCGAGGACACCGCGCTCCAAATTGAGCGCTGCGTGCCAGGCTGGGAAAGGCCACGGGACAAAGCTCTGGAGTCACACTGTGGCCATCCCCATCCCGAGCTGGAAACCCTCTGCTGGGAAAGAAAACCAGGAAAAGGGGAAGAAATTAGATGGGGATGGAAATAAATGTTTTTAAAAAAACAGATTGGTGCTGGAGGCAAATGGGGGAGGCACCAGCTGTGCTGGAGAACCAAGGCAGAGCATTGGGGGCAGGAGGGGGAACTCAGGGGGCTCACAGGTGGGTCACAGTGAGAGGGGCTGGGGGTGATCATGAGGGGCCTGCACTTCCCCAGTGCGGGCAGCAGGAAGGGGGTTCTCTCTCCCTGCCCTGCTCAGGTGAGACCACACTCTGGAACCCCAAACTCAGAGCCTCAAACTCTGGAACCCCAAAATTAGAAGGACCTGGAGCTGCTGGAGCAAGTCCAGAGGAGCTCACAGAGCTGCTCCAAAGGCTGGAGTCCTTCTGGAGCCAGGCTGGGAAAGCTGGAGGCACTCACCTGGACAGGAGAAGGCTCCAGGGAGAGCTCAGGGCCCCTTCCAGTGCCTAAAGGGGCTCCAGGAGAGCTGGAGAGTGACTTGGAACAAGGGATGGAGGGACAGGACACAGGGAATGGCTTCCTCTGCCAGAGAGCAGGGTTAGATGGGATATTGGGAAGGAATTCCTGGCTGTGAGGTTGGTGAGGCCCTGGCACAGGTTGCCCAGGGAGGATGGAAGAGGTGTTTGTCCTCCCAGGCAGGAAAGCACCCACTGGAGCCTGTCCCCAGGAAGCTCAGGTGCCTCAGGTTGTCCTGCAGCAGGCAACAGCAGCCCAGGTGATTCCCAATTCCAGAGTGGCTCCTCCTGGGTGTGCCCTAAACTGCCCCAGTTTCAGAGCTCTGGGCCCCAGCTGGACTTCAGGAACTGCATAAAAGGGTCCTGCAAGGGCCTGGGCTGGTGGACAGAGTTGGGGTGTGGAATCAGCCTTTTCAGGAGGGTGTTTGGGGTCTTTTCCTTTGGGAATGCTGCTTGCAAGACGTGTCCTGGTAATCCCGCTGCTATCTCTCATTCTCCTGGGTGCTTGGGGAGCAGTGATGCCCCTCCTGAGCTCCCAGGGAAGGGTTTTGGTGGCCACGTGGTGCCCAAACTGCTGCAGCAGCTGCAAATCCACCCAGGAACGTGCTGATTCCCAAGGATTTGATTAGGGGGGATTTGAGTTAAGTGGATGTGAATTTTCATGGCTATAGGGGCTGTGCACATCAAAGCTGGGAGGCAGCGTGGGGCCAGGGAGAAGTTTCTCAGCTGTAAATTTGCCTCGTGACTCCATAAAAATTATGATGGGCAGCATGGAAAGAATTCTGCTGGAAAGAGCCTGGAAAATGCTGCACCCCCGAGAAAACAACACAGAGGGCTGCAGACCCAAATCAAAGTCCAGGCCTGGGCATGTTTTGAGGTGTGAGATGGGACACTCCAGATGCTGAAGTCCTGGGTGGGGTCTGGGTTTTGAACCTCAGCCCTTCTTGGATGTGGATTAGGAATTCTTCTTTTATGTCTTTATTTATAGTTTAATAGATGGCACACCAGCTCCTGCCTTCTGGGTTATCAAAAAAGGAAAAGAACCATTTTCAAATGAGAATTTCTGAGCAATTTCAGGCCTCCTGCAGCTTCTCCATCCTCCCTGAGCAGAGGAGAGCTCAGGCTTCATGGAAATCCAGAAACAGGGTTCTAAAAATGTGCTTGAGATCCTTGTTTTTCACACCAACACTTGACCATGGGAGATTAAGAATTCTGAAGAGGGGATTCCTCCTCTCAGGAATGCAGTTTCATGGTGTTTTCCACCTACCAGGAGACTCCAGGATGATTTCAGGCCTTTCCAAGCCTGAACATTCTGGATACATTCCAACTGGA